CCCAATTATACCCTCCGCTGTCCACCCCATGTACCGCGCTTGTAAGCCCCATGTAAACCTAATGTAATCTTCGCTGTCACCCCCATGTACCGCGCTTGTAAGCCCTATATAACTCCGGTGTAATCTCCGCTGTCACAAAGGATGTAACCCGATTGTAAGCCCTATATAACCCGGGTGTAATCTCCGCTGTCACCAAAGGATGTAACCCCGGTGTACGTTCCGCGGAAACGCCACTGTAATCCGCGTGTATTATTGTTGTACATCCGGTGTAACCTCCTACTGCCCGTGTACACTAGATGTAACCCTGGTGTAAGTTTCGCGGTAACGTCAATGTAACTCCGCGGTCACGCATGAGGATGTACACTTGATGTGCAATACATGTAACACCGGTGTAACCTAGAGATTGTACCACGCGTGTAACCCGAATGTAATGTCCGTGTAACCCGATTGTAATGTCCATGTACACTGGAAATGCGCTTGTAACCCGATTGTAATGTCCAAGTAACTTTTTATAATCTATTTACGCTGGTAAAACAAAAAAAAAACACACACAGTAAGAATTCGTATTCGAAAGAAGGGATTCACGCCGCTATGGTTCCTCCATCGTGCTCCTTTTGAAGGTTAGGGTTTTGCTACTGTGAGGGGTTACACGCGTAATGGAGGATAAGGAGAGTACGAAGACCTTGGAAGAGACCAGTGGTGCGGATTTGGGTGAGGGGAACCAACCCGAATGCGAGCAGACAACTGTTACAGTGAAGTCCGGCCGCAAACAGTCCAAAAAGGGAGAGAGTCATCCCGTTTCCAGGTATTTATTAGATTGTTGTAGCTGTTTTCCTTTGAATGGTGAAATCTTGTTCACGGTTAAGAAACACAACAATGATATGTCTAACCAGTATTTGATTATTGTGCAAGGTTCTATACCAATTTTAATACAATATAAATTATTTTAGGTTATTGTTGTAGGCTCTTGAACCCAAAAGCAATTAGTTACAGATGCCGTCCATCTACAGTACGAGAGGTTCTCTATAATGTCTTACCAAAAGTCGATGAGGACACATGGCATAAATTGGAATCCTTGAGTCTGTCGCAATTTTTTGAACTCCCTCTGTACACCCAGGACAATATTTTGACGATGCACATAATTAATTGTTGGGACATTAATCGAATGACATTCATTTTGAAGAGGTCAAATTTGTTTCTGATGAGGTTGCATTACTGTTAGGCATGCCCAACAGAGGATTATCTGCATGTTGGACCAATGCACCGCCTGATACAATGGATGTAAGACAA